CCCGGCAGGCCTGGGGCGCCCGCGGGGACGCGGTGGAGCCAAGCACAGGTGCAGACTCCGCGCCCCGACGCCTCGCTTCCCGCGCCCCTTCACTCGCCCCCCCAGACGCCCCGTCTTTCCCTACACCCCGGTGTCCTCGGTCGCCCCCAGTGGCGCTGCGCCCCTCCGCGACCAGGGTGCAATCCAAGGGGCCGGGGCAGTGCCGCCCCGGGTCCCGCACGGGCTGTGGCCGGCGGGGTTCAGGGTGGGAGACGGGGCCCCGGGGCCGTGCAGGAGGGGACCCTTTGTGTCCGGTCGGCTCCGGCGGGTCTTCTCAGCCGAGGACGGCTCGCCGACCACTCCACTTGCCGCGCGGAGGTCGTGGCCGCGCCCCGGTCGCGCCTGGCAAAGGCGATCCCGCAGAGACCCCCTGGTGCTACTCTTCCGACGCCAGCCAGAGGTTGCGCCCCTCGGTCCCCTGGGAGTAACTCGGGGACGCGAACATTCCCGGACGCCGGATTCTGTTCGGTGTTTGCGAAGGTGCCCGCCGGTGTCCACGACTATACGTGTGTCCGTGAACTTGGAATTGCTCTCTGCGCGCACAGACCCCCCTCCCGCCCGCTCCCGCACAGGGCAGGCGGTGACTTCCAGGGCTCGCGTCCCCATACGCAGGGCCTGGGCTGGAGGACCCGACACGCCGGGCGAGTTCCGAGCGGATCTCGGACACCGGCACCTGGCGGGCGCTGCCCTCTGATGCTTGTGGGACCCGTCATCTAGCTCCGAACTGATGCCCCCTGCCCGTGGCGACCCCCAGCCTTGGAAGGTCGCGTCAGTGGCGCCCGAGGCATCGCGAGCGAGCCGGGCTGGCGCAGATCGGGTTCTCTCGCCGCACGGGGTCTGCACCTGACTTGCGCGCTTGGTTGACTTCTACACGCCTTTATTTCTCGCCTACTGTTTGCAAGACGCCTGCGATGGGGACACAAAAACGAATCCTACGCAGAGGTTTGGGTCCGGTTGGCGACAGAAAAGGCCAGCACTGCTCGAGTAGGACGCGTGCACGCACCCACGTCCGTTCATTCGGGCGGGTTGGAAGCGTCCGCGGGGAGCAGGCCCGGGTCTGGGTGCCGGGAGGTGCGAGCGGGACGCAGGCCGGGCGGAGCGCCAGGGTCTGCGCCATGCGGCGGGCTGCAGAGGCGAGGCCTGGCGGGGACGACTGACGGCCCGCGGCAGCGAGAGAGTGGGGGAGGCCGCTGCCAGGGGAAGAGGACCAGGGGTCCCGAGTGGGCGAGAGGACGAGGCACACCCCGGAGAGCAGGCGAGGTCGCCAAGCCCCGCGCCCGCGCTGATGCTCTTTCCACCCGTGCCAAGGGCGGACGGCGGCTGGGACCGGGGTGCGGGACCCCGCGGACCTTCCTTACGGGGGTCCAAGCCCAGATGCGCGCATGTGAGGGCCAGGCGGGCGCAGGCCGTCCACAGGTTCTCTCTGCAGAGTCAGCGTCAAATTCGTTCTCTCCTTCATCTGAGCAGCACCTGAGTGTGGAACGAGGGTCACGCTGCAGGTAGGGTTGCCTGACTTAGCAAAAACAAACGACCCCCAAGCAAACAAAAAAACCCACTTGTGTATACATAATACATGTAATAGGCACGATATTATATAGTAAATATATTTATATACAAATGTGCGTGTAAACATATACATATAAATATGTATTTACTTATAAATATAAATATATTTATGTGTACACACACACAGGTCGCCCAGTGAAATTAGAAATACAGATAAGTGAGTAATTTTTTAGCATTAGTATATTCTCTGCAATGTTTGGGAACATACTCTCTTTTTTGATATATTAAAATGTTTATAAAAATTAAGCATTAACATTTATTTGTAGCTTTCCGCATGGGTGTGCAGACAAGGAATGAGACTGACTGCACGTAAGCATAAGCGGTGTGAAAATGTGAAATTGGTGAAGTTACAGAAGTGCTAGACATTGAATAGAGGACTTTAAGAAATAAAACAACGAACAAATCGAAGTAACTAGGGAAAAAAAGTAAAACTACAGGGTCATGATTGGGAAGGGTGAGGCATGTGATGCCCTTGGTACTACAGAAGTGAAATTAGTGGCGCACATAGCACTTGACAAACAACGACTCACCCAACAGCACTGATTTGTATTCCTTCAGTTAAGTCACCTGAAATGACGTCTGTTGCATTTAAATGTTCATTAATGTAAATGGCCGAACAAATCCATTTCAACAGACACTCAATATCCTGCATAAAGTCACTTCGGCACAGCCTCCTGACAACTCCCACACGGAAACAATACTTTACCTTGTAAATGTCGACCCATGTTTACTCCCATCTTAGGTCTTTTCAGCTGTCAAGTGTACAAAGTGAAGAGAAATCTTAGACGGGGTCTACACGTGGAAAATAAATTTCTTAAACTCCACATACACGTTTCAAAACTGCTGGGTCCCAAGTCCATTTATGAACTCCAGGGTGGCAAGCACCATGTGCACCATATTCAAAATACACTATCTGAATAGCGGATCAATTCTGCATCAATCAGGTCAAGCAATGTGTCCACCTGTCACAGACTGTGCACTTTAACTGAACACGGCAAAATATTCACTGTTTTGAACTTTACCATTTGACGCCAAGTAATGGAGCAAATACCAACAGTATATACGAAAAACAGCTTTGCATTTACAAAAGATTGTTTCCCGTATTGATTAACCCAGGCAGCTAACTGATGGTTCACGCAACTTTATTGAAGAAAAATAAAATTACTAGCAGAGCTACTAGTCGATCACTCATCCATTGACAACTTGCATCATGTATTCAGTGCTACGTTAAACAGTGTATTGGCAGACAGATTAAGTAATAGCCCCAAGCCTCCTAATAATTTAAATGAAAATTATAAAATGTCTTAGACCCTATTTTGGAATACAAAGGGTGTTTGACTTCCAATTTCCATTCTCTGTATAATAACGTGTGCATAAATATATGTTTGCATGTAAATATACACTTACATATGAATATTAATGTACGCATGTATACACGCACACGCGGGACACCCAGTTAAAATTGAATTTCAGGTAAGCTAGTGATTTTTTAGTATCAGTGTGCCCCGCGCAATGTTTGGGAACATACTTATACTAGAAGAGAATTCGTTGTCCAAATTTAACTGTGCGTCCTGCCTTTTGTGTGCAGCCCTAGCTGGAGGGGGCTCCTGCGCCTCCTAGCCCTTGGGGTGCGGTTCTGGAATCCCGCGTCGGAAGAAATGAGGGCGTCTCCTTTAACGCGCGGCGGCGCGGGTCACGGGAACTACAAGCCCCACAATGCCGCGCGGCCCGCCGCGTCCCTGATAGGCTGCGGCTCGCTTCCGCCTCCACTGACTTCCGGCGGCGGCGGTTGGCGGCTGCGGCGGCGCCCAGGGCTCCCGGCAAGTTCTCGGGCTCACGGTCCGGGCCCGCGGCCGGCGGGGCCATGAACTTCTCCGAGGTGTTCAAGCTCTCCAGCCTGCTCTGCAAGTTCTCCCCGGACGGAAAGTACCTGGTGAGCGGCGGCGGCGCGGGGCCGGGCGAGGTGGGGCTGTGGGCCCGGCGTAACCCAGGCGTGGAGGCAGCTCCGGGGTCCGGAGGGGCGGGGCCAGGGCAGGCGCCCCAGGCGGGGGAGGGACCCGGGCAGGTGCCCCAGGCGGGGGCGGGGCCCGGGCAGGTGCAGCCTCCCCTGAGCTACCTTTTCCACCTGTCGAAGAAGGACGCGTGCTGCCTTCCCACATCTGAGGGTGCAGGAAGTGTCCGCTCCTTCTTGTTACTTTGTCACAGAAGGCAAATGTCTCATTTTGTTGGCTGTAAACTTGTAAGTGGTGCGGCTCCTTTGTCGCCTTCTCTAGCTCCCGTCCTCATTCTCTACCACAAGTTGCATAAACGATGTAAATAAGGAACGGTCTATCCCCAGGGAGATGAAGCGTTGTCCTCACGGCAGGGGTTTGAGCTGTTCCTTCCATGGGTGGCAGGATGGTGCCTAAATCACTGAGTTATAGTTTTAGGTTTTGGAATATACCAGTATGACCGGCGTATATCCTCAGAAGTTCGGGGTAGGTTGGGGGTGGGGACACATCACTGGCACTGGAAGCCATTAAGAAAAAAAAAAAAACTTTATAAAAAATATACTTCATTGTAGTTATTCACCATCCTCTTAATTGACCTATGCTTTATGGTTCTTATTCAGTTTGAGCCTTTATTAACATTCCTGTTATCTTTGTCCAAATTTTGGTGTTTTTTTGGTTTGCACACACTTGCCAAAATATTATGAAAACGCTTCTTAATAATCTGTTACTGAAATCATGTTATTAAAAGCTCAGCCCTAAATACTGGATAGAGCAGGCCCACGTTTCCAGTTTCAGTATCTTGCAATAGGTTTTATACCGCTTGGTATATATTTTATACCAAGTATGGTAAAAATATTCCATTACATAAAGAATTGATTGTAACTGACCACGATTTTCAAAGCTACAATGTAGAAAAATATGTCTTGACATAGATATTTGTTTCAGTCTTCAATCACCCTCTCTCTTTTTTTCCATGAAAAACTAATGTGGCTTTCTTTTTTGATGAAAGTTCATAAAACACAAACTAGTAATCTAGTTTGACCTTTGAAGGGGGGAGGGGGAGTGTTAGTGAGAAATGGTAAAGGGCCCCCCAAAATCATTACATTGTATAATGTTGAATATACTAATTATCTGGGGAGTGGGGGGAGGGAAAGGTCAAAACAATTTAAAAATAAGTTCTTGATGTTTAAAGTGCCACGTAGCATAGAATCAGTGGGTGAGTTCTCAGACATAGAAACTATTTGCTTAGATATGGACATAATTAACAAATATGGACATGAAGAAACTATCTTTAAGAAAAAGGTTAATATTTAAGCTTTTTCATACTTAGTGTTAGAAATAAATTAATGTAGATAAATGAGCATTTATGAAGCATCTTTGCATTTGCAGAAGTTAAAGCACGTGCTGTATATTGACCTTCTGGTTTTGGGCACTGACTGAGGCACTGGATAAAAGTGTGCTGTTCATGTGGTCATTATCACCAACAACCGTGAGGCCTCGATTCTCACCCTTTATAGATTTAAGCAAATTTTCTAAAAGTGATAAAACTAGGAGGGGATTTGGTTACTAGTTCACAGAAGAGCTATTTCCCATTGCTGTTTCCTACCTTAGTTTTTAGCATATTGTTAAGAGAGGAATAGAAAATGGTTTAAGTAGGGAGCTTCCACATGGCTGAACACGTGGAGGCTTCTGGGGGGCAGGCAAGCTCCACACCCTTCCCCACACCCCACCCTGTGCCTCTCTTCGTCTGTGTCCTTCGTACTCATCTTCAGATACCTGCAGCAGGGATCCCTGATTCAGGTGTGTCTCTGTGAGCAAGTGAATATGCGGATGGAGGACTGTATCATTAGTTTTGATGAGTATATGAACCTTGTATTAGATGATGCAGAAGAGATTCATTCTAAAATAAAGTCAAGAAAACAACTGGGTTGGATCATGTTAGAAGGAGAAAATATTACTCTGCTACAAAGTGTCCAACTAGAAATGAGAAATGATCAGTGAAGTGAAAATTGTTGAGAAGGCAACACAGTTTGTTTTTTTATGTGTCCTTTTTTGGGAATGTAGTTCTAAAACGTTTGTTACTATTGTTTTGATCATGCTTGTGTTATTACCAGATGACAAGAAATGCTGTGGGATCATTTTTATTAAAAAGAAAATGCTTTAAGTAGAGAGTTTTAAAATACTCTTGCTTTATACTAGAGTATAACGATTTTGAAAACTACTTAGTATATTTCAACTTTATCTTTTTGTTAACTTATTTTTTGAAATGGGCTATGTAATTGGTGACCAACACAAAGCTGTCTAGGTATAAAACATGTCTGACAGGAGAGGAGGCGACAGGGTCGCTGAGTGCAGGGGAGGGCTGGCATTCTGAAAGAGCAGAGGACATAAGTGCTTTCTTTCTCATGTTTTTTAGGCTTCCTGTGTCCAGTACCGGTTAGTGGTCCGGGATGTGAACACCCTTCAGGTCCTTCAGCTGTACACATGCCTGGACCAGATCCAGCACGTGGAGTGGTCGGCAGACTCTCTCTTTATCCTGTGTGCCATGTACAAGCGCGGGGTTGTGCAGGTGCGTGCTGCTGCATGGGTGACACTAGGAAACCTCCCCAAGAGTGTCACTGGGAAGGAATGGTTTTGTTCTGTACCCTTCTTGTTTGGGGATAAAAGGCAGTGCAGCTCAAAGCCAGTTTTTTGTTTGTTTTTAAATTATGATGTTCTCCAGTAGTTTAATCTACATACTTTTAAAACGAGGAGCTACTAAAATATTCTTAGTCTCTAAGCAAAAATAATTCAGAAACAGGAAGTATTTACAGACAGCAGTCTAGAGCCTGGATGTTGTTTTATTTTTATTTCTTTCTTTCTTTATTTTAAAAGATGACCGGTAAGGGGATCTTAACCCTTGACTTAGTGTTGTCAGCACCACGCTCTCCCAAGTGAGCCAACCGGCCATCCCTATATAGGGATCCGAACCCGTGGCCTTGGTGTTATCAGCACCGCACTCTCCCAAGGGAGCCACAGGCCGGCCCTGACATTGTGAGTTTTAGCAAGATCAGGAGGTGATGTTTTGTTACACCCCCACAGCTGATGAATGAGGTCTTTGGAATGGCAGTGTGAATAAACCGTTTTAAAATTACAACAAAACAAAATCACCAGAAGTGTGGCTTACTTTTATGTGGAATAGAAGTAGGAGCCAGTCTTTCATAATGAAAGATTTTAAAGGTACCCTGTGTTTTGACCCATGCCCGTTGACCCTCAGCTGTTTTCAAGCTGTGTTCTGTCCCCTGGAGAGGACTTGCTGTCTGTGCTGATTGGGTTGCAGTTGTGCGTCTCTCTCTTTTATGGATCCAGGTCTGGTCTTTGGAGCAGCCAGAATGGCACTGCAAAATAGATGAGGGTTCAGCAGGGCTGGTCGCCTCGTGCTGGAGCCCGGACGGGCGCCACATTCTCAATACAACCGAATTCCACGTAAGTGTGAGCCCTCCTGTCCCCTACCCCTGAGATAGCTTGGGAGTGCTGAAGAGGGTATTTTTGGAGTAGTGTGTGTATCTTAAGTCAGAGCATTATAAGCCCATAAGTATTGTTATGTAATCTTTTTGTCCGGTTTTAAAGAAAAATAAAACATTAAAAAATCTTTATTTACATTTTTAAGGATTTAAACAGTCCCCTTAACTTGGCAATAGAAAATGGGCTTTATTATGAACTAATTTACATCTTTCCTTTAAGATGTGGGTCTGTGGGTGGTACGTCAGTACACCCACACTCGTTCCATGGGCATTGCAGACACTGTGCACCAGGCACTGTGTAGTGCTCAGTACAAAGGCAAATGTTTGAGATCTGACAATAAATCAGAGATAATTTGGGCAGTATGTGTATATCTCAAATTACGAAATTAGGCATATATAAGGTGTTTAGGTGGAAGGCCTTTGGTATCCACAGTGTATTTTTAAGATACGGAAAAATGTAGGAATCCCTTTAAGTATGCACTTTCTGATGGGGCACTGTCACCCAGCATTCGGGCCTGTCTGGACCGCACCAGGCTGCAAGTGTGGCTGCAAGCGTGGCTGCGCTCTGCACCAGCAACAACGAGTGGGGGGTGCTTATTCCCGGCCACGAGAATGCAGAGCGGGCCTAGGGGATTCATTCAGCGTTTTTCAAGTTGTCACCAGCTGGAGTCAAGATCTGTCCAGCTGTGGAAGGATTGCTAAATTAAGTGCTTCAGACAGCCGTGTGGCTTCATGTACTTTGTTTTGATTTTTAACATACTTTACTGTCTGTTGTTATAGACTGGTAGAGGGTAAGACAGGAAATGAGGGGCTACTTAATTTCTCTGTACTATATGCATCGACATTTTAAAGGTAGCCTGAGTTTTTCAGAGAGGATAATCGGAGCTTTTCATGTAGCCTTGTCTCAAAGACTTTGTGTTTATAATTCTTTGGGTCAAAATCCAGTCTCCACAAGGCTGTGTTATTAGTACGTAGAAATTTAGAACTCTCTCTAAATAGTTTACATAGTGAAACAGGTTTCACTATTTTCATGGTTTTTGAACCTTTTATGATAAAGTATCCCTCTTCGTGTCTCACAGTTCTTTTTGTTTGGGAGTCTGTTTTAGTGGGTATTGATGTAGCAGTACTGTCTTTTACTGTCTTTCTTTTGGTTAGGGTTTTCCTGGTATATCTTTTTCTGTCCTTTCACTTTCAACCTTTCTATATCCTTAAATTTTAGTGTGTATGTTGTAAATAGTCCATGGTTAGCTTAAAAAAATAAATCCAGGCCGAACACTTTTTCCTATATCTGAATAAAGCCAATTAAAACAGTATATAAGCAATAAAATCCACTCGCTTTAGATCTAACAGCTCGGTGAAGTGTTTCTCATGTGACTGCCACCACGGTGAATGAGAATGTTCAGCCCTTGTAAGGTCCCCTCATGCCCCCATGGTCCCTCTCCCCGCCGGTGGCCCCAGGCACACAGCGGCCTACCTGCTGCTCGTCACTACAGTATTACTTTTTTAGCGTTCCATGTAAGTGGAGCTACAAGATGTGTAGAGTTTGGGGTCTGGCATCTTTTACTTGTCATCGTGCTGTTTTTGAAGTCTACCCATGGAGTTGCATGGATCGTGTCACTGAGTCTGTCCTGTGTGGTCCTTCTGCAGCCATCAGCTGTTGTCCCTGGAGAGCATCTGTGCAGGAGGCCTGCGTCCAGCCAGGGGGCTTGTTCTCCACGCGGTGACGGAGGCGTATATTTAACTACCTTTGTTTCCTTATTGGACTTTTTAAAGTTACAAACAGTTGTCATTTTTAAGAATTTTTTAATTTTTTTGGTGAGGGATGAAGGATAAAAATCAGGCCTTTAAGCTGTGTGCATTTCCTGTCATTTTCTAAAATGCGATTCAGGGGCAGGCCTCGCAGTTTGGTGTGCTGGGTAGCACTGCGGGCTGCACCGTCCAGCCACTGCAAACCTGCTGCTTCACGGGACGGCTTCTGACACCTAGAGGTTCGGGCACCCGATCCGCTGGTGACTGGTGTCACAGGGTGGACGTGTCCCCACCTGTTGGTTTGGAACTGTGCCCTTCCCTTGCTGACACCCTGACGCCCTCCTCGGCCTCCATGACAGGTTTTGGAGGAAGTAGCACTCTGCTCAGACGGAGCTCCTGGAGGTGCCTCCTGGCATGTCTTAGCGCTGGTGCCGCCTCCCCCGGCACAGCAGGCAGGTTTTATTTTTGTTTTGTATTTTTAAAGCATCAGCCTTTGTAATTACTATTTTTCTTCTTTGGCAGCTGGGTGGTAAGGGGATCCGAACTGTGACATCGGTGTTACAGGCTGTGCTCTGAGCAGCTGAGCTGACCGGCCGACCATGCGGGCGGGTTTGGACACGGGGTCAGTGTAGCAGCCCCGCCCACTTGCCGCGGCCTCTGCAGCCCAATTTCCCATGTCCAGCACCTGTCTGCAGCCTGTCCGCTAGACGTCACGGGCGGTGTTCAGAGATGTGGTTATGGACCTCAGGCTCTTTTCTTTTATAAGAAGAGATGGTTGGGCCGGCCTGGTGGGGCACTCGGTAGAGTGCAGTGCTTGGGAGCATGGCGGCGCTCCCGCCGAGGGTTCGGATCCCATATAGAGACCGGTCCGCTCACTGGTTGAGCGTGGTGCGGGCGCGACATCGAGGGTTGCGATCCTGTTGCCGGTCGCAGTACGGGCTCGACACTGAGGGTTGCGATCCCGTTACCGGTCACAAAAAAAGACTAAAAGGAAAGAAAAAAAAAAAAAAAGAAGAGATGGTGTGGAGAAAATAAAGTTAATTCATTTTTTTTACCTCCTTTAAACTGAAGAAATGGCAGCATTTTTAGGAATCATGCTGGTGCAGAAATGCAGCACTCTGAATCCTAACGCAACATTTATCTGACCAGAAGTGGCTCGTGGGTTCATCTTCCCTCGCACAGAGGACCGGCAGATCAGCCAGTGTCCGCCACTCCCTCGTGCATGGCTTGGGGTGAAGGGCCATGCCCCTTGGGGAAGGCCATGGAGAATGTTTTCAGAAGCAAGACTGCTCACTGCAGGCTGCACCGGCCGGGGTCATAGAACTTCAGCATGAGATGCCGGCGTCGGTGCATCTGCGCCTGAGCATTTGCTCTGGGCACTCCCCCCCAGCCCCCGTGCAGGTGCCCGTCTCTACGCAGGCACAGGCACAGGCTCGTCAGCCCATGCTGTGATATCGTCCTTCTCACTGTACCAGCCTAGTGAGCGCTCAGCTACCTGAGTAAGGGAAAGAGAGGAAAGCTGGAAAATATGCCAACAGTGGTTGTTCCAAACACCCGTCTGCAGAATCAGCTGGGCCCACAAAGACCGCCAGGTGGGGAGTGGGCTACGTGCCCTCTCTGAGCCCAGCTGCTGCCCTCCTGCCCCGGATGTGGCACAGGCTCATGGCTGGAAGCCCTGGAGGGACCACATCAAGTTCCTTGTCCGCCTTACAGAGCAGACCGAACGTTGTGGTTTTCCTGTATAGAGATGTCTTTCTGCCTACATTTTTCAGGCTTATAATAGTATGGAAACTGTGATCACTTTGAAATAGCTAACTAAACTGCACTTAAATGTAACTTTGTGTCACTCAAATAATATTGCTATAAAATGGAAACAAAACACCAGGAACACTGAATTATTTCAACAACAATAAAATGTGCATTTGGATACAGCCGTTAAGAGGGAGAACACCCAGGAGGCACTGATAGTTTCACTTCAGTAAATCTTGCACTTGGGTGCTAATGGTCTGTTTCATGATTTGGTGGGTTTTCAAAAGATGCTAAACATGTGCCTTCTCTTTCCCTTTCCCCAACAGCTGCGGATAACCGTCTGGTCCTTGTGCACAAAGTCTGTATCTTACATCAAATATCCTAAAGCTTGTCAGCAGGGTAAGTCTATCAAAGCTACTTGAAAGCCATTTCTCTGTAGCTGTTTTGGATTTGGGGACCTTTTTATCATACAAAGTTTCAAACACAGGCAAAAACAGCTTCAACAACACATTTTCCCAGAGCCAATCTGTGTCTCTCTATACCCATCTCACTGTCTCTTGGAGTAAAGTGTATCCTAGATCTCTTAATACATCACCTGTAAATAGTTCCTTGTGTATCTCTAAAAGACGACTCCCCTTCTACAACATAATCACAATAACTAAAGAGTGCATTGTTGGAGACATCAGAGAAGAATGGGTGTACAGGGATCCCTTTATCCTGCTATAGCACTGGGTACTTAGGTCTCATCCAGCTGGTGCCCCAGGAGTCCAGGTCAGAACTTCACGCCTCTGAGTCTCCTGCTGACGCTTCGTGAAGGGGAGACAGAGACCTGCCACATCTGGGCATCCCCAGGGAGGGATAAGTGACAAGCATCCCCTCCCGACGGAGGCTCTGAGCCATCTGGAAGAAAAGCAGGTGCGTGTGTGGTGGCTGCAGAAGCTCCTGTGGGCAGCACAGCATGGGTGGACGTGACCGTGAGCTGCCATGGTGGCACCTCACACACCATGCTCAGAGTGAGGCCTTGCACAGTCAGAGGAGGTTTCTGCATTTCTGTGTTGCCCACAATGGTTTGGAATGGCATTTGAATGAAATGCAGCTGTGCACTTATGTTTTACTTTTATAGTGTGAGGGTCAGTGTCTCTCAGATGAGACACACATCCCTTGGGTAGAAATAATGTGTTATTTGAGGAGTTCTTTTCACTCACAAAGCATGAAATTTGGCCGAGGGCTTTTTAAGCTGGCACAGAACTGAAACATAGTTGAACCTTTTGAACCAAGGTTTTTCCACATTTTGATCCTAAATGTACTTCTTCCAAAAAATTAAATTCAAAAGTAAAATAAGATATGTAGTAACCACTTTTATTTATTTATTTTTTGGTGGCTGGGTGGTGCAGGGATCCGAACCCTTGACCTCTGCTATCAGTACAATGCTCTCCCAAGTGAGCTCACCCGGTCACTGCCTCAAGCTGCATTTGACCAGCTGAAAATACCCCTAGATTTCCTGCAGTTTTCTTCCTAAACACTTGCTAGTTCGTAACACGCTGCATTTTTTCAGTAATATTTAGTGATTCTCAGGGATCAGGTCACTTGGTGCTATTCACAGATTCCTTGCAATTGAGTAGTCTCTGTGTGTGTGCATGACTTCCCCTGTCGTCACCATGCTGTGAGGGGATGAGACCACAGCTCTTGACTGTGTCTCCTTTGTAGACAGAATGTTCTCGTTTGTGTGAACCACATGGTGTTCTGCATTTGGGTGGTTTCTCCTTCTGACCTCTGCTCGCTCTCTCTCATTCTTCCTGGAAGATCACTACTGTCATGTCTCATATTTGGCTACTTCTTGATTTTGGTGCATTTTCCTCCTTCTGGTAGGAATAACCTTCACCAGGGATGGCCGCTACATGGCGTTGGCAGAACGGCGGGACTGCAGAGACTGCGTGAGCATCTTTGTCTGCAGCAACTGGCAGCTCCTGAGGGTGAGGCATTTCCTCTCCCAGCTGGGAATAAAGTTGTCCTGCTGACCAGGGAGGAAGTGGGTGAAATGGGTATTCTTTAAGATCCAGGGGATCTCTGGTACAATATGGAACAGCGCAACCTCGTATTTCCAAAGGGCAGGGGTGCTGTGTATCACTTCAAGTAATACACACTGGTTAAGTGTTTACAAGACTTGGTGATAATTGTGCATGCTTGGTGAGTTTTAAAAGTCACCATGCCATCAAATTTGAGCCCTTTTCCGTTCCTTGTGAGTGCGAAGGCATTTGCATGCATGTGTGCTACATCAGGAGGGGTAAAATCGAAGTTAACATTGACTGAGGGCCTCTGGGCGAGACCTGTCCCAGGTGCTGAGGCACAGAGAGCCCCGCCCTCTAAACACGACTCAGCACCGTCCAGCTCTAGGTACCGGGGCTCTGGGGAGTGTTCCTGGAAGGGATCTTGTCTGAGCTGGGTCTTAAAGGAGTGAGACTCGCCAGGCAAGGAAAGGTGAGAAGGGAAGGAGCATGTGCGCGGCGGCAGGTGGAACCCAAACCGCCTTTCTCTGGGCTGCCTGCCCAGCGCCAGCACCAGCACTGCCGTGAGCTGTGCGCAGCCTCTTCACTTCAGCAGGGATTTGAATGCACTTAAAGGGACAGAAGTATAGGCATTTTCGTCCATTTGTATATAAGAAAATTAAATGCTGAATGTGTATACAACATCAATTATTTTTATAATTTAATTATATTAAATGCAGTTACTTATTTAAGAAAGTATCTTCCAATTTTAATCTGCTTCTCCCTCTTCCCTCTGGAAGCACTTTGATACGGACACCCAGGATCTCGCAGGGATTGAGTGGGCCCCGAATGGCTGTGTGCTGGCGGTGTGGGACACCTGCTTGGAGGTACAGAACATGGCCAGGTGACACGATTCCTTCTCAGAGCTGTTTCCTGCATGTTTCTGACGCTTTCTGAATGCTGCCTTACAATCAGGTGCATCTCATTTTGGATGATGAGTTGAACTTTTATCAGCAGGTCATGAGATTTGCATACCGACTCCTCTTGTTCTCACAGGCTGTTGCTCTGCTTCTCTAGTTGGGACCTCAATTCTAGCTGAGGATTTCAACGGGGGGACAGTTTCTCCTGTGCACCTCTTCTGCTGGCTCACACTGTCTGCACAGTCTCTCTCTGAAGCAGCCATGTCTGTGACATGTTCTAGGTCAATTTGATGCATTTGTATGTAACAACTGAAATGTCTCATCTGCAGTACAAGATTCTGCTGTACTCCTTGGACGGCCGATTGTTGTCAGCATACTGTGCGTACGAGTGGTCCCTGGGCATCAAGTCTGTGGCCTGGAGCCCCAGCAGCCAGTTCCTGGCGGTCGGGAGCTATGATGGAAAGGTGGGACCTAGAGCAGGGACCTGGAGCAGGGCACGCGGGGAACCAAGCAAGCCCCCCAGAGCTGTGTCTTGACCTTCGTGTGGTTTCCTCCCCCAGGTGCGCATCCTTAATCATGTGACTTGGAAAATGATCACAGAGTTTGGGCATCCTGCGACCATTAATAACCCCAAGGCAGTAAGTCTGGAGCACATGTCCCTGCTTGAGCGATACTTGGGGAGGCGGGCAGGAAGCTGTTTTTTCACTTTGTGTTGTTTACTGTGCTCTGTCATTTTCCTGGCTACTTACATCTCCGTAAACTTTTGTTACTGTAGCATTTCAACTGGCAGACCCTACCAGTGGCTTTTGTCCCTCCTATCTACGCTGCCCAGAGGGTCTCACAGCCCTTGCCCACCTCTTCCTCCACTGCCCCAGCCCAGCCCCAGCATCTGGCTCTTGGTCTGTCCAGATCCCTGCTGTCTGCAGAGTAGTCCAGGGTCTCCTGCCCCCAAACACTGAGCATCTGCCACAGTCAGAGAAGAGCAGACAGACATGCCTGTTGCTGACGCAGACATGAGATACTCAGAGGTCTGGGGAGGGAGCACCCCAGGCCAAGGGAGCAGGAAGTGCAAAGGGCCAGTGGTGAGGAGCAGCGTCTGTTCACTCAGTGGGTGGTCATGAGTGGCTGCTGCATGCCAGACACTCGTCTGAGCACTGGGGGACAGCAGGGAGCAAAGACAAAATACCGGCCCTGTGGAGTGCACTTCTAAACGAGAGAGCCAATCAAAAGATGGTTAGATGTGACGAGAGGACAGCGGGGGCGGGGAGGCTGCCATGAACAGTGAGGTACACTGGCCAGGCTGCTCCCCAGAGGTGATGCTTGGGGAGGAACCCAGGAGCCTCGCGGTGTCTGGGGAGAGACTGTGCAGAAGGCACAGGGGATCTGAGGTGGGCAGTGACTGCAGGAGCTGCCGAGGCTGGGGTGTGCGCAGTGTGGAAGGGCCGGAGCAGGCTGACCACACGGGCCTGGCAGGCCTGCCTGTGGTCTCGGCATGTCTCCAAATCCTTCACCGCCCCGCCACCCAGCATGTCTCAAAAGTGCAGTCAGCCCAGGTGACTCCCTCACCCAGGAACTGCTCGGGGGCACAGGGCTGCCTGCCTTTGCTACCAGGCCTTCAGCCACAGATGCATCCCTCCCCAGGTCGGTGTTGGCAGCTCCCTGGGCTCCCGCTTGCCTGTCCTGTCTTGGTGGGAGCTTTCTCTGTGTCTCTTGTCAGAGCTGCAGTGCTCGCACCTACTCTGGTGCTGACACTGGCTGCCTGAACGAAACGGCCTTTTGTCTGCTAGCATGCAGCCGCACACATGTGCCACCACTGCTTAAAGGGCAGGCCTGCCTGTGGGACATGAGAGAGAGCAGGCAGTATTGCCACCATCTCGCCCAGCACGGCAGCACTTGGTGTTTACGGTGTGCCCTCGTGGGCGCATGCCATCGTCTCCTCGGTGGTGGTGGTGGTGGTGGCCGCGTTGTGTCTTTCAGGTTGTATATAAAGAAGCAGAGAAGAGCCCGAGGCTGGAGCTGGGCCGCCTCTCCCTCCCACGGCCCAGAGCAGGGGTCAGCCCCACTGCCAGCATGGAGAGCAAATGTAAGCAGCGGGGCCTCACAGGGACGCGTTTTCTTTCCTTTTTTTTTGTTGCTTTTTTGTCTTATGAAAACGATTCCTCTTTGTCCGGGTGAATTTCAGATGTTCTTTATTTTTTTAAAATACATTCTTCCTGTCCTGTGCCACCTCATAGGCCGTGCGTTTCTCAACCTGTCAATCTTGAGATCGCTTGGGATTTGCATTACTCAGTAGAACCAAGGCACTGTTCTTGTCCACTGAATATAAGCCCTGGAGATCCACATGTGACAGCTGGTGCACTGAGTGCAGTGTTGTCACACGGCAAGCATGGAGTGTCAGGCGATGACAGCGTGGCTCACTGCAGCTCTGGGCTGTGTCCTGGCTGGGCAAGGCTGTTGTGCTTTGGTTTCCTCGTCTCTAAAATGGGTGCAGTGAAGGCTGCTACCCCACAGGGACACCGGGGACATCAAAGGAGCCTTCAGACAGAGGAAACGTGGGACAAGAGCTAGGCCTGAGGATGCCATCCGGCCTGTGGTGGGCTCAGGGACGCTCAGGGTGGGAGAGCTGCCCAGAACAGGGGATGCGTCACTCACACTAGCTCTGTCATTATTTTACAACTTTTGCTCCAAGCTTTATAACACTTGTTTTCTGTTCGAAGTTGAGACTGAAGCACATTGTTGTAAACTAAGATGCTAGTGGAGAGAGAAAAACAAATGTCAACATGTTTGAGCTGCTGAGACCGTGGCTGGGGTGCGGTGGTCCCTGAGCGTGTCTGTTCCCCTATCTGGCTGGTCCAGGTGCCACTGGGGCTTGAGAGGCAGCGATGACCCCCTCCCTGGTTGGGCCTCACCGGGGGCTACTCTCAGACAGGCATCTTACTGCAGCCGCCAGCCTCTGTCAAGCCCTGGCTGCAGTACAAGTTTGCCTCCGCGCTTTCAGTTCCAGCTGGTGTTTCCCTCCCTTGGCACAGGCGCTGGAGGTTGGCCCCTCCGGCTGCTGGGGTAGCAGCTGCCCGGCGCAGGCGGGAGCATGTCAGACGCATGCTGCTGCCTTCAGAGATGACAGCGCCCTGTTCTGCCTTTTGCCATTCCAGATGAGGTTGCTTCTGTGCCAGTTTCCTTGCAGACTCTGAAACCTGTTACTGACAGAGCAAACCCTAGAATTGGCATAGGAATGTTGGCTTTTAGTCCTGACAACTACTTTCTGGCGACGAAGAACGGTCAGTGCCATGGCCATGGGTCCTGGGTTTGCCCACTCGCTGTGTCCTTTGCCACCAGGTATAGAAACTAGAGAAGAGAGCTAGGTAGCCGCTTTCTTACACAGCGCCTCCTTGTCTTTCTGCTGAGATAGTGAATGTCAGCGTGCAGAAGCTTCTCGGAGGAGTCAGCCTGCTCTTGGCCAGCAGCAGCGGGCCAGTGAGCCAGCCCTGTGCCCCACGCCTTCCTGCTGTGTCCTTTTTACTTGGTACAGAGCAGGGTCCCAGGCCTGTTTTTAAGAATGGATTTTATATAAAAACAAACAAAAACATGCCTCATGACGGGAAAGCCTGAGGTTTCCTCACTGGCTCAGGTCAGGAGCACTGGAACACTCCTGGGAGACATGGCCACAGAGGCAGAGATAGGGTGGCTCCCCCAGGCCCCTGGGCTTGCTGTCACGTCTTCCATCGTCAGGTGTAAAAAGCAGAGCCAAGGGGTGGGGGCTGACATGGGAGAGCCGAGCAGGGATGACTCCAGTGCCTGTCATCTCTTCCTTCCCTAGACAGTGTCCCCAATGCCGTCTGGGTCTGGGACGTGCAGAAGCTGAGATTGTTCGTGGTGCTTGAGCAGCTCTCTCCAGTGCGCTCGTTTCAGTGGGACCCGCAGCAGCCACGGCTGGCCGTCTGCACGGGAGGCAGCAAGGTCTACTTGTGGTCCCCGGCAGGCTGTGTGTCGGTGCAGGTGCCTGGAGAAGGTGAGTGTGCCGGGGAACGCAGTAAATATGTACGTGTCAGTAGGCATGGACGTGACATCCTCACTCAGAGTAGTGTGGCATCTGATGGCTAAACTGTATAAACCCAACTGCTGTCTCCAGCACGAAGTGAAACTCGCTCCCAGCAGTTTCTGGTACACCTCATGGTCAGTGCCATGTGCAAACGTGACACAGAGGGGACCTGCTGTCTGAAGTCCAAGCTGAGGCCATGTCTGGGCTCTAGCCTGGCTCCACCCATCTGGGTCACTCCAGGCCCTTTCTAACCCTGGCCTCTCCCGCTGTAATCCCCTGACCACCTGTTTTCTCTCTCTAGGTGACTTTCCGGTGCTTTCTCTGTGCTGGCATTTAAGTGGGGACTCATTGGCCCTCCTCAGTAAGGATCATTTCTGTCTCTGTTTTCTGGAGACCGAGGAGGGGGTTGGCACAGCTTTCACACAACTGGATGGCCACACGTAGAATCAGTGCAAAGCTGTGCCTATGCGGACACGGAAGCAGGCCACTCTGTGGTTCCAGCGTGGGGGAGGAATGAGGCTTCCCTGGGAAGTTCTCCAACAGTGATGGTCCAGATCCAGTGATCTGGTTTTATTTTTCTATAGCAAGGCATTTTTGTAAATACGTATGGTATATAAAGGTGTAACTTTTATTATTTAAAATAAATATTTGCTAATTCATAAAATTGCTAATGCTTATTTTCTTGAAAGGTTTACATCACAGGAAGGTTTTCTAGGTTTAAGTTTCTGGTTCAGTGTTAGGGAGGATGGACCAACCCTAAAATAACCAAGCCCCACGTAGCGAATCTCCCCTTTAGACAGACAACCCGGTTTTGCCCTGGGTTCCCCCAATTCAGTCACTGAATGTTTTAGGAAAATGGGTGGGTTTCTGTAGGGCATGCCTAGCCACACTATGGTAGGGTCTACTTTGGGATGCGGAGAAGGGAGCCCTGAGCAGCTGAGGGTAGTGCTGCCCTAGGTACGTCCCCCTAAGGGAACGGAGAGCTGCAGGTCCCTGACCTAGAGTCACTTCCACAGGGAGTCTTGTGTCCACTTGGGTTTGAGAACCAATGCCCATGAGTCTCCATCCTGGATGGATGTGGGAAGCACCCAGGCCCCCCCCCAGAGCAATCCCATCAGTGTCTCGCCTGAGCACCACCGGTGGGCGAGTTAGGATGGCAAACCTCAATCATCTGTGTACCATTACCTGTCTCTCTTTAAAGAGAACTGTACCAGCTATGTGCCAGTCTGTTACCGTAGGTGCAGAGCAAGCCAACAGATGCACAAAACATTACAGAAGATAGTGCAAGCTTTAAAATAAACTCATGTAAGTGTACTTTCTTGATTGCTGCACCTATTTTAATAGCAACAATTTCAAAACAGGAACAACATCCATTTGGTTCTCAATGTCTACTAAAAGACCAAAAGTGAAGGTTGAAGGCTCAGGTGAGCTTCTGTGGCCGCCTCCTGGTCTGGACAGGCTGTTGCACCGTGATCACATCCGTGCCAGTCAGCTCAAAGCCACAACAGCTGTAAGCAAGCAGGAGGAAACTGGCGGGCCAGCACTTAAAGTTTATGCACAAATGCTTCCAGCCACACAAGTGGGCTGCGTGTGGCTGAAGGGGAGGAAACTCCACAGGCACACCAAAGCTCGGGCGTGCTTAGTGCAGGGCTGACAAAGCCTCAGATCTGCCTGGAGCTGCAGGTAGTGAGGTGGGCATTAGCTGCTTCGTCAGGTCTAATATAGCTCTTTCTTTAAAGTGCATTCTTTAAGGAGCAAACTACCCGGTTCCCTTTTAAATATGAATATAGCAATACAAGCTCAATAAACGTAATTGTCAAAATTACGTGCAAAGATCAAGGTGGCTTTCTCAAATTAATAAACTGTCTTAAAACGATTTTCTCTAAACATTTTTGGGCCTGGGAAAGATGCCCTAAGTATGAACACAACTTGGATTAATTTTAGAAAAAGTGTGACTTCAGGTCAAATACCTATTTACAAAAGATCAACTGTCCATTCAGGAGCTGACAAGGCACAAACCACATCTTGCTTAGGTAACCAGTCTGCTGGATTATTTTGTATTTAGCTTTAAGAAAATGGATTAACTTTAAAATACACAATTTGACCCCAATGTAAACATTTGCAGCTGCAGGCACTCGAGATATCAGGTACTCCCTGTATCTACCATCTCCACAGCGGAAGTGAGAGCGGGAGCGTGCAGATCGAAGCACACCAGAGTGGCCGGGGGGTGGCGAAGAACCACGAGAAGCCAGCCAGACTCGAGGGACGCCACGAAAACTGGAGTACAGAAAGTGGAATACCAGCAGTACAGTGACAGCCAGGTTGTTTGCTTTTGTATGCAGCTCATATTAGCGGATGTCCAATATCCAACTAAATATATATTAATTCACTTTACTATTCCAATCAGATCCCTAAAAGTAAATGACCCCCCAATCCCTCCAGCCGGCAGTGGAGCTGGCGGGAGGCCTGACAGGCTCTCCCCAAGTCCTCATGTCACCTTGGCGTTCTTGTGGGGACGAGCTCCCAGGACGCAGCTGTCTAAAAGCCTATTTTGCCTCTGGTCATGGAATAGCCCAGCTTTGCCTCATTGTTGATGAAGGACAGCAGTCCCACGTAGGTCTCAATGAGGAGGGGGCGCTCCAAGACCAGCACACCACTGGCTTGTCCTGGCAAAGCATTTTCCTTTTGGGCTTTTTTGACAGTTTGGATTAACAGAGCCTTGAAGCTTTCCAACTTTAAAAAGAGAGAAAACATGGAGCTTTAACATTCAGGCAAGAAAAGAATCATCCATTACAAGAAAAAACTTCACACTTGAGACACCTAAATCCCTCCAAACTCCACTATTTCCTTGCTGAGTCCTTCAGTCTCCTCACTTGAATGAGCTGCTCTCTCTGCCACATCCTGGGGGTCCCTCAACTCACCTCCTTAATGTAGCTCTCTGGGTGTGTCGAAATCTTACCACTGTGCTCTTCTGTGACAAACGACAGTCAGTACTCACAGAGCCCTTACTGTCCACAGGTCTAAGTGGTTTTGCCACATTAACCTACTTAATCCTACCACAACCCAGCAGGTTTAGCAAGAAGGCCAGGCACACGGCTGGGGACCCCTGCCAGCTCTGGGCTCTGTCTAACACTGCTGAGCGGCCAGGCCCATCAATGGCTGCTAGCACGGCCCGAGGTCTGCTGCCTTCCCTGCAGCCTGTCTAGGCCCTTCTCTAAGGAACTACACTGACCAGCAGCCACTACTCATGTGGGGCTGCTCAAACATAAACTACAATTTTTAAAAATCACAAGTTTATTTTCTCATCATTCCTAGCTACATTTCAAGTGCTCAGTAGTTCTATGTGGCCACCGTACTGGCCAGTGCCAATCTGGAAAGTTTCCGTGACTATGGGAAAGCGGCTGTCACACGTGTCTTACTTGGCACAGAGAGGCTGTCTTCTCGTCCGCGCCGGCCATCGGGTGCTCTATGAAGGTGGCGTAGGGCACGTTCCTGGACCAAGGATTCCATCTGCTCATGAAGGAAGGGCGACTTTGCTTGTCCCACTGAATCCGAACCCCAAAACCTTCTCGTCTGACAGATCAGAAAAAACAGGCTGAACACAGCAGGCCACAGCACTCTCACAGACAGTCTAGTCGGCTACAGGAGTCTAAGACTAAAAAGCAGATCTGTGTTTTAAAAACAAAGAGCTATGAGGCTTCGCAACAGAAAATGACTTGTGGTTCTTTAATAGGAACTGCAGTCTCCACTAGCAGTTGCTTTGAATACTTTCGGCATGACAAATTAAATGCATTGTTTAGGTCACGCTAAACTTAACTTGATGTGATTGCTAACGGTTAACAGGAGCACATTAACGGGCTCGCTCAATGAACAGCATCTTCGTAACTTTCCCTTTTCCTTAACGTCTTATTAAACGCTGGCTAAAACGACCTACACTAATGTCTAGGTTTCTCCTAGTTCAAAAAATTCTCTTGAAAGGAAGACCAAGTCTTGAAATCTGGCCATTAAATATTTCCAAATTTATGTCTATAGATTAAAGTGGCACCCTACTTTTTTTCTTTCAAAAATTAACCACAGCAAGACTTGACATGATCATGTGGTCCTTTCCTGGCTGGACATAAAACACAGACTTTGGCCCTTGTCTGAACAATGTCCAAGCTCACTTCCAACATGCGGGTTCCCCTCCAGTACATCTAGAACTGGTGTAAGCCATTCTCGCCCCGCGCCTAATAGCTATCTTATGCTCCACATCCCTTTTAATGCACTCAACTGCCCTCAGGTAACTTGCTTCCATTTTAAGGAACTTTCCATTGAATTTTTGAAGCTGAAACCTTTGTTTCTACATAAGGGCAGACACAAGACCACCACTTGGGGGCTGATTTTTAAAAGGGTTGAATTATAGGGTCCTCTCTGGCCCTAAAGTCCAGTGGTACTAGGTTCTCTGAAAAGACGTACTTATTGAGTGACTTTGGGGGAAACTGGAATTCTCCGGAGGAGATGGTGTCTACTGCGTTGAGCGCTATCCTGACCACCTGCTGGCACTGAAGACTGATGAAGTCGTATTTACAGATGAGCAGCGACATGTCGGTGATCAGCACTAGCCGCTCCTTCTCATTGTTCCAGTGGTCCACCCTGGAAGCAAAGATGAGTCACCGACGGACTTGGGCTGTCTCGGGCTATTGGTCCCCGGCCGGGACTTCCTGGCCCAGGCCAGCCCCAGGACAGGCAGTGGCAGCCCCAGGACGCTCACGAGGTAGAGCACTCGGGCTTTCCCACAGGCCAGCAGAGGCCTTCCCCAAGTCCCCTGGCAAGGTGTCCCACCGCGGCTCGGCCTGGCCTGCAGAGCGCGGGGAGGACCAGCGGGCAGCCCCGGCTTACTCCGTCAGCAGCCACACCCCCTGGATATCGCCGTCCTCCACCGGCCGGACCACCACGCGTATCTCCTCCACCGCCTGCTCGATGGTGCCGGGCTGGACGCGGGCAAGGGCAGAGATCACTCTACGCGGGGGCCGCCCCTGCCCCTCCTCCCCCATCCCTCCTACGGAAGCCACAACCGCGCCCCCGGCCCCGCCCTGCACCCGGGTCCCTGCTGCCCCGCCCGTGTC